GTCCAACTCTAGTAGCCATCAAGCACTCGAGCGCTTGACTCAAAATCCGTTAATCACGATAATGGGGGACATAAGTGCGGCCAAATGCTTATTTGAAAATGGACAAACAGTGATTTCGGTAGACGTATACATTTCTTCGAATCAAACGGTTAAAAAAATTAGAGGTTTCCTGCATTTGTACTTTTACCATATAAAGAAGGTAGCTCTGCTCTTTTAAAAAAATATCACTCGCTTCCCCTGATTTTGAGTGGTGATTTTAACTTTGACTTCAGTTTGCCAAAAGCTGAGCCGTTCATAGCTTTTATGAATGAGGAACTCAAGCTCGAAATGAACACAAGTCAAAATGATTCGACTGTTATTGACGCTATTTTTCAACGATTTTTAAATACTTTGAAATCACAAGTATATGTGTCATATTTTAGTTATCATAAGTTTATTGTCTCCGCTCTTGCCCAAATTGAACAAGAATAATTATTTTTGATAAAATATTGCATTTTTAACTCATGTTGTTATAATTAAATACAATTTTCATTAAAGATATAATTATTCGATAGAAAATTATTTCCAATTATACCCGATTCCTATTTTTTAGGAAAAAGTTAATGTTGCGTATTTACCACGATAACATGCCAGATGTTACACATCATATGCGACTACTGTTAGATTCGTTTTTTTCTCTCTCGAGTATAACAAACCTTAATACTACAAAAAACTATTTTGATGTTTATGACATATAAACTTAAGGTATGATTTCTTAACCTTGAAGTATAAGTAGTAAGGATTTTTTTAGAAAATATTACTTACTTTTTTTTTAAAAAAAAATTATAATTGTAGTTTTTTGTAATCATAAAAAATATCAAATGAAAGCATGTTCTGTTCTAAGATTACAATAACCATTTATAAGCTCAAGAATTTTCTATCCGTGTTATACCATCATGTCTTGGTTATTAATAATAACCAAGCAAACTGGAGTTAAAATGAATAATTTATGAGAAACTATCACATTGACCGTTTGGAATTAATAATTACAGAGGAAGTTCAGTGAGTGTGATAATTTTCAACGTGTTTAGTTAGAGATTTTCATTACGCGTGTAGATGTATATTTTTCTCCGGAAATTTGTTTTTGTGTTTTACCGTGTTTCGAAACTTTGTTCTAGAAACAGAATTAAAATTTGTAAAGTTTCGAAAATTTCAAAATTATCATTCAAGGAACATATAATATAAAATATTAGGTTTATTAGAGTTAATATTTTAAAGTAAAAATTTAAGTAGAGAAATATCAGAGTATTTTATTCATAGTTCATGATTTTTTATCTCTACTAATATTTACAATGACAGATTCATCATCACAAAATCTAGATCCATAAAAAAGTTATCACTGAAGCTTCAATAATTACTGGTTAGTTAATTATATTGGCAAATTTTCATTAACAATTAAAGTAATAATCAGTGAATATGCTTATTACTATGGATTCAAATTTATTTTTGAGAATTTCAAAAACTACCTATGCGGAAAAGATACTCTCTGGTGCATAGATTAAGGGGGAAAAGAATAATTAATTTTTATGTTTAGCCCGGGAACAGTCAAACCCTAGATACTAACATTAGTGGTCGAGGGAAGGGGTGGTGACCTAGTCACCCCAATCCTTTGTTTATAATTATTTTTATTGTACTGAAGAAAAATTGTAATTCCAGTGAATAATTCAACTAAGAGAAAGTATGCATACTTATTTTTACAAACTTAAAGTGCTAGAATCGCAACGGGACTCCCTAAATTGAGTATTTTTTGTGCCATATCTCGGTGGAAAATGCATGGGCCTTTCGTTTTCGCCGAAACAACTGTAACTGGTTCTGCCTATCTTGATTATGTGATTATGTACAACTGTGGCTATTTACTCAACTGAAAGAAAGTGAACCAGATAATGTCACTTGGCAGCAAGATGGCGCACTGCCTCACTGGCATCTCTTAGTACGCGATTGGTTAAACATCACTGTTTCGACCAATGGATTTTCTGCAAAGGGCCTCACAATAAAGCTTGTTTCGCATGACTTACACGTTCACCCGATCTGATGCCATCTGATTTTTATCTGTGGGGTTTCATTAAGGATTGTGTGTACGTGCCTCCTCTACCAGCTGACCTTCCAGACTTAAAACACATGATTGATGCAGTTGTTACAAGAATTACCCCAGACACACTGAACAAAGTTTGGATGGACTCGCCTACTGACTTAATGTGTGTCGTATGACGAATGGGGCTCACATTCAACATTTGTAAGCTTGTAAGTAAAACTGTTTCAGTTAATCTTTCATTCGATGCATGAATTGTACTTGTAAGTTATATTTAATAAATTCTATAAAGCGTTAAAACTTCGATATTCATTTTAAAACACCGGTATTTTGGAACAAAAGCGGTCTCGTAAATAACTCAGTCACCGCAAGTACCTTAAGGTTTAAAAATGTTTGGCATTTCCAAAAAAGAGGGAGATATGAGACAAATACATTTTAGTTCCCACGAAAACTGTTACATAAGAGGATACTGATAAGATCATTGGTAATAAATAAACAGTTTTCCCAGAACCGCTTTCGATTTAGTACTACCACAAGAGGAATAAAGTTTAGATGTTTGAGTTTATTTTTATGATCAAAAGACAAAGCAATTTTTTTGTCAAAGTGCATTTCTATTTATATATTTTTTAACATTAATTGTGAGATAAGAGGATACATAATAAATAGTTACACGAATAAAAACCAGGCATATTTAACAGCTTTTTCAATATTAAATTTAAAAAGCATTTAAAATCTGCAGTCGAAACGACAAACCGATGATAGAAAACAGCTATGATCGGACTGCGGGGATCGACGGTGATGCAAAAGAGAATTTAGTTATATGAAATATTACACTATACTATTCAGTACTCATCAATCAGTAATTATAATTTTTAATTATTTACATCGTACAAAAATAATTATATTTGATGATAAAATTATCAAGCTAAAATTAAGTCTTTTAAATTCTTTTTCGAAGATTCAACCTTTTTGTGGCAATAATAAACTTTGAAATTAATGTTTTTATTATTTTTTTTCCTAATCTTCATAAATTTTTTCGCACAAAAATAGAGATTCTGATTAAAAATGTTTCCTCCATATAAAAGTGATCCACTCTGGTGATTATGTGCATTATTTATCACATTTACCAAAAAGAATTAGTGCGATTATTAACCCCTTATTACAGCGTATAATTAAACAATGTACGTAATGGAATGAGAAAAAAAAAGAAAGAATTTTATTTTAGTTTTAAATTTTAAAATTTTCACTCAATATTTTATTTTACACAACAGTAAAACCCTCTAGTGCTTGCTTTTAATATGTGCATTCTACATGCTATGGATAATTATTCATATATCTTAGAAACATATTTATGTTCGTACGTTTTCAAACGTTTGAGGTCATTCTGTGTATGATTGAAGAAGTTTGTGTATATGTATGTTCATTTGAAGAAAAATCCAAATAATCAACAGATAATTCTAAATCTATCCAAATTTAATTCATCCTTTCACAAGAAAGTTTTTTTTTATTGTTTATGCTATTCGTAATTTCAATAGTGGAAGGTGTGAATTCAATAGCATTGCATATAGTAGGACACAAATTTCAAGTATGTAAATTCCTGCCTAAATCGATGAAAAATATTCGTCTTTACCATAAAGAAAATGCCAGATGAAAAATATTTCAGTAACATAGCCAAATTGCATCCTCTTTTCCAATTCCTACTATTAGTTCACTCTCTCCCTATCTATCTATATATCAATCTCTCTTTCTCTCTCTATATATATATGAAATAAATTTGTTTATAATATCAAAAACAAGAACTAGTTGATAATGAACATAACAAGAAATTGCGTAATAGAAATATAAAAGCTAAACAGGAAGATTGAATTTATAGAAAATACAAAAAAAAGGAACTACAAAAAAGAACCTAGCGAGTCAGAAAGCAATTTCGGACTTAGGACCGAATAAGTGGGGTTAAAATAGTTTGGAAGGCGCCAACCATTCCTCTTTGCAACTCGGTAGGAAAAACCAAACAAAGTAAACAAAAATTAAAATTATATAAAAACTCAAAGAAAGTATGATAAAACCACTAACTACTATTCTGCAACAAATTCTTCAAGCAGAAAAATCCCAGAACAATTACATAAGAAAAGTAGAAAAATCCTAAAACAATTACATAAGAAAAGTAGAAAAATCCTAAAACAATTACATAAGAAAAGTAGAAAAATCCTAAAACAATTACGTGAGAAAAGTATTCCTCAAAAAAGAATTTAACAAAATTTCTTTACTCACAGAGCTTTTTCCAAGAGAATCAAGAGTCTTGAAATTAATGAAAAGCAATTATTCACCAAGTTAAAAAACTTGAATATACATAAACACATCTTTTGAACTATCGATTAAACCAGTCAGCAAAGATAGATACCAAGACTGATGGCAATCAAATTTGGTAGGCTTTGAATTGGTTGATTGTCAAAAATGTAAATTTGCTAGGCCCTAATTTGGTTGGTTGTCAAAAATGTGTAAGCTGTTCAAGACGTATGTGGAACAGATGTAAACTGTAATATAAGTGTTATGATATAATCTTCACAGCAAGACCACTAACATGCTGACTTTGAAATCCTTTTGTTGTGGATTTGCAATTAGAAGTAGCAAGACGATTAATGTATTTGTGATGAATACAAGTTCTTAAGAAGTTAAAAGGGTATTCATGATCTAAACAATATTGAATTTTTTTATATTATTGAATTTATCTATTTTGTGGGTATATATATATAATAAAATATTTCCCATTCAAGTTCAAATACATTTTTTTAAACTTGTAGTGGAAGAGACTTGATGTTAATACAGTTTTTTTTCAAATATTAATTTCATTTATTAAATTAAAAAATGAATAAATAGTAACAAAGAAAATTATAGTCCAACAGCATATATAGGAAGGAAAATCTCTCAGTATGTCCCTGTAGCGCAATGGATAGCACGTTGGACTTCTTATTCACAGATAGTGGGTAAGAATCCCACCTGGGATGGACTAATTTCTGAGAATGTTTCTTTTTACTAAACAATTTACAATTTTATTGGAATAATAAAATTTAACTAATGAATTAATAGTAACAAACCAAAAAAATATAGTTCAATACCATCTATAGAAGAAAAAATGGAAAAATGCAAGGAAAATCGCTTTCTATTTTGTCACATAATATTGAGATTCTGTCTTATATATATATATATTAATTGTAACTATTAAATAAAAAGTAACTAAAATAAAAATTTTCTTTGTTCACCTAAATAGGAAATGACTTTTAAATGTTTTTATATTACTTGTTTTAAAATACTAGCACTGAATAGTGTCACCATAAAAATTAAAAATACGCACAAATCTGATAAAGAAAAACAAGTATTATAAAAAAATTAAATCAATTACTACTTTGAATGGATAAATAGAAGTTATTTAATTATTGAAAGATTGAATAAGAAGATATATATATATATATATATATATATATATATATATATATATATATATACATATGTATATACATATATATATATATTTATATATATATATACACATATATATATATTTATTTATCTATCTATCTATCTATATATATATATATATATATAAATATATATATATAAATATATATATATATATATATATATATATATATATATATATAAATATATATATATAAATATATAAATATATATATATATATATATATATATAAATATATATATATATATAAATATATATATATATATATATATATATATATATATATATATATATATATATATATATATATATATATATATATATATATATATATATATATTGGCAGAGAGTGAACTAATTGTAGGGATTGACTAAAAGAGCAAGATTTGTCTGCAATGTTGTAACAATGCAAATCCGGTTTGGCTAGTTTGGCTGAAAAACAGATTTTCGACGTCAACTTTTGTCTTTCTTTTAACAGTTAGATTGTTACAACAATAGAGACGAATCCAAGTTGGCGTCAAAAACCGGCAATTAATTTAATTTAATTTAAACAATTCATTAATATTTCAAAAAATGTATTGACATCAAGTGTCATCCACCACGCGTTTAAAATATTTATTTGAACTTGATTAGATTAATAGGAATCATTTTTATTAATGACTGAACATTTGAGAAAGATAAATAAATATACAGAGAGAGTGAGCTAATAGTAGGAATTAAAAAATATCAGTGCTCGTATAGCGTATAAGGTTAATAGCAAACAAAGGATAATATTAATAATCGTTGGTTATCAATAATAATATTCCCCAGGTTAATTACTTTAGCCGTAATATACATAATCCAATTAATATAACTTTAAACTCTCTATCGTATATATAAATCAAACCTAAAAACAAATAACTGAATTTAAACGAGCAGAAAGATGATATCTTTTGATCTAACTATTTTATCTCGAACGATAAGCGAAAGATTAATGATTTCATTTATCGCATGCGACTTTATTGGCGAGCATATGATGGCTTGCCTCTAATGCGTGTGATGATGGAGGAATATTTTCCGCAATAAGCAATTAAACCGTGTTTATAAATCTCTTTACCGTCTCAGATTTAGTGATTGCAGGAAATGCAATTAAAAGTAAATTAACACAAATGAGGTTAGAGGTATTTATTATTGTTTCTTCAGTAACCTGAAGCGTCGAAGAACAGGAAAGAAAACTCTCACAAACTCAATTTGATAACGAAGGGATAATTTAATTATTTTATGTTGCAAGATTCGAAGCTCTTGGAGAGTTGAATTACTGGAGAAAGAAAAATAAAGCGCTTACGTCATCGGATACTAGCGATTGGAACTAATTATCATCTATGTAACAGTCTATCAAAGTCGTTAGAAATAAATAAGTGCTTAAAACAATGTTTTTGTAATAAGTTTAAGGATGTCGTGTTTTTTTATGTTAACAATGCTTTCAAAAAAATTAAAATGAATAATAAAAAAATACTAAAATAATCGAAGTTTGAAACTTTGAATGAGATATGAAAATGAAACAAATTTTGAAACATTTGTAAAACCAAATAAATGTAAAAATGAAGCAAATATGTTATAGTTTTAATTTAAATTTAAAAATACGAAAATTCATACATTTTCTATTAAGCTCTACTTACTGTATAAAAATTATACTTCCTAATATTTTGTTTCCTGATGTATGGTTTGTAGTTGTAGCCACGATACGTAAGTGGAAATATATGCTTTTAGTCAGGCGCTATTTTGAATTTTCGCATCATACACATACACTGCTATCCATCTAAATGCAACACCATGGAGGTAATATTCTTAGAGCATAACACGATGAAATTTGCAACTATTTAGAATTTTAGTACATGTTTACATCTTGGTTATTTGAAGCGCCACCAACAATTAAAATACTGGAAATACTCTTTTGGACTCTACTCTGCTAGAATACTCTTTTGGAATACTGGAAATGCTTTTTCGTGAGATTGTTTTGTAGGCTGTGTAAAGAGAAACGTGCTTCATTAAAGTACATTTTTAAGTTTAATCGCGTAAGAATTGTTGTCTATGGATTATCCTTCAGAGATATCGATAATCATGTTGGATGTAACCAAACAAAAGTGTTGCGGATTTGTAATTGATGAATGCAGGAGAGGACATCATAGCATTATTGCATTATACTGATAGCAACACAACTGCATCAACTTCGACCCACCACAATACGTGATGATAGACATTCCGTGAGCATGGCAGTAATGGATTGCTTTCTAAATCAAGAATTATATCACCTTTACCTTCAAAGCAAGGACATTGAAAGGCAGAAAAGGACAATTGAATTTGATGGATGAACTTACAGCAGTGCTTCTCAAAGTCTCAATACTTGCCACCGAAATGTCATTTATAATTTTCATCACGCTCCCCATACAATAACAATGTATTGAATGCAATAATAATGTACTTTGACGCTAAAACTTTAATACGATCTTAATAATAAAAAAAACTAAATTATCAAGGTATGTATAAAATTTTGTATATGTTACTTTCAAGTAATAGATATTTCTCAAAAGAAAGTTATTTTTAAGTAATAGATTTTTCAAAAGAAAGTTATTTTTAAGTAATAGATATTTTAAGCAAATTATACTTTTAAGTAATAAGAAAAATATTATATTGCTTTTCTTTTCTAATTTTTAAATTGGAACAAATAAAAATTAAAGTGAAACGTATATTTTTATTATGTCAGAATGTATTTTGTTTTGCTTCCTCTAAGTAAATTTATATATATATTTTTTAAAAATAATCTTTTATTCTCAACTTTTAGAAATGCTCGTGCCCCGCTCGTAGGGTTATCATGCCCCCTAGAGGGAGCCCCACAGTTTGAGAAATACTGACTTACAAATAAATAACTTTTTTACATTCAACACTACGTATTCGAGTTTAAAGACACGATGGAGAGTTTTTACTTAATAGTCCATCTCCAAGAATTATGATTTTGGGTGGTGAAAGATTCCTCATACTGTTTAATACATGTGTATATTTTAGGCTTAACTGGTCTTCAATATTTTTGACTTCTTATTTATGACATTTTATAGCCCCGTTATGTAGAAATTTTATACTGAAAGAGGAAGGTAAGGGCCATATAAACAAGCTTAACCTAGATCGCCACCCTAGGTTATTTACAGATAAATGTAGAAGGCCTAATAGTTTTTCATTTTGATTCACTGATTTATTTTGACAGTTTGTATCATGTTCTAGGATGTAATACGATAGGATTCTCTAGGCTCTAACATGATAATGTGCTTTGGTTCATGAATGACTGTAGCTTATTGGACCGGATAATTGCCTATCACCTGACAGAATTATCTCTAGACGTATCAGTGTTGCCATATCATGACAACTGCACATGTCCAGTATCATCACAGAGGCTTCACAAATTGAACAATTCCCTGTTAACATATAGGTTTCAAGGAATCAGAAGTTGTCTCCATACCCATGCATATCCATCCGTTCGGTTAGACTGCAAACGAGACTCATCAGACAAAGCAACGTGTTTCGAATCAAGTCAAGTATAACGGTGGTAAGGTATAAGGATTTGAGCTGTACTGTCAACAACATGTACATTTGAATCGCACTGTACAGGAACGGTACTAACACTGAACTCAAAATTCCCAATGACCAAATAGCACCAAACGTCTCTAGTGAATCTATTGCAATAAAAAAAGACCTCTGATTTTACGTGTTATATTTCCCGGAGGATGCAACAGAAAGTCTCGTAATTTTCCTCCGACTCAAAATCTGCTATCTATACCATTTGCAATGAAAAAATACCAATCTCACAAAAATAATAAACGTTTTATTCAGGCAGATTAATGCACCAAGTATACTCCAGTGGATTCTTGCCCATGGGGGCATTGGGGGGTTATGAATGTATGAACTTCATCGCTAAGAAGACTCGGGACTAGAATCAGCCTTACACTACCCCCTTGGATGATGCAAACATGGTCACAAAGAGCAAAATTTATAACCATACTAACCATTTCAAAAATTAATTATCCAAGAGCTCAACTGCCCTAGAAATTTGTCGACTACAGTAGAAAGACTCCGCACGGGTTATTTCAAATGTAGGAAAACATCTTCACATAATTCCTAATCTTACACCATCTGCAGAAATTGTCCACAAACCCACTTAACACCAGTCTATATTTTTTTAATTTAAAGGCCATTATTGTAGCTTTTGGACTAATAGAGAATTGCACTAAATCCATAGAGACAATACAAGAAGAAGACTGTAAAGAATTTGGCCTTCGGCTCCGGAACTATTATCATTGACGAAGATTTCACACGCTGACATATGTTAATATCGCAGCATTGAATTTTTTGGAAATTAGAGGAAGTGTTGCATGCGTAACGTTTAAGGATTCTTGTAAGTTGCTGATGCTCCTATTCTTTCAAAGTATTTTTCCGACCACCTTGATATTGAGATCCATATATCCCAATATCCTATATTCACGGTGTACTCGTAAAACA